AAACGCCGTTGTTGGGGCTGGCAAAGGCCCGATTCGCTGCAACCGGCCTGGCCCTCGGTGTGGACATAGCGCGAGCCTGCCTCAACAGGGGGTGATGGGGGGCCAAAAGTTGACAGAGAGCCGGGGAGGGGGGAGGGAGCCCAAATAAGCCCAAATGAGACCTTTTTTGGGCCTTAGGGCTTACTTGGGCTGATTTCCAAACTCCTCTCCCTCCCCAGCACCCTGGCGCTGATCCTCCATTAGCATGGACCTGTTCTGGAAGACGGCAGTCTTCTAAAAGGGAGCCTCTGGTGGGTTCCCTCTTGTCGCGAACCTTTTTGCAAAAGCAACCCTGGGCACTCGTGATCAAGACCCAGGTACCTGGATGACTGCCACTTTTAGCAAAGTGTTTATACTTCCGGTCGAATCCACTGAGGGAAAAATTAGGCAGGGGTACTCTACCGTGTCCTGACAAACCTGGTTGCTCCTTAGCTCCGGCACATTTGGATACCCCCAGCCCCCAGCCAAGAACCCTGGAATGATTCGATTCCCCCGTAAATACCAACAAACAATGGGGTCCACCATGATTTCATTTCGTGGCGCGAACGCATTTCACAAGCATCCACAGTCTTGCTCACCTGAGTGCATTGGCCAATCCGAACTGTTTAGGTACCACCAAAATCGCCCGCACGCAAAAAGCGACTCAGGTGCAGGACCTCCGGAAGTAAGACGAACCCCTTGCCTCTATGGGGTGGTCATCCCTGTATGCCAACGCCCACGCCAACCCTGCCGCGCCTTACCGGAACCTGGGCTCACCGCATGTGGATTCGAATCCGCCAAGCGAAAATGGCCGGGGTGCAGCCAAGCCAGTTTTTGGGACTCGGGTCAGTTGCATTTTGCTATCGAAACTGCCACTTGAGGAACCGAAAAGGGAAATGGAGGGCACCCGGAAAAAAATCTGGCATAAGAGTCTAGCCACAAATGCAAACAAAAAAAAACTACGACGGACCCGCCGGTATCTAAAGCGGAAGCAAAAGGAAATCGACACTTTTAGGCGCTTTGGTTGTTTTGAGAAACTCCCCGAACAGCACCAGGAAATCAGTTGATTGGATGGGACATGTTACCATCCTCAATGAATTTCTCCAAACACATTCCCACACGAGTCATGAAGCGAATTTGCCCAGCAACGAAACATATCATGATCTTGGGATAGAAAAGGGTCCAATTGTTTGTAGTGTTTCTGTTAAGGGGGTAGTTGTGGGAATTGGGATCGGAATTTCGAATAGCCCCTCTTGACATTTGCCTCACGCCTGGAAGTCACTTGCCACCAAGACCTGCATAGAAGGTTGTGGGGACTGGGGACAGATCTGGGTCAAAACCAATGGTACCAGTTTCTGGTAGGTGCACCACCCATTTTAGTCTATTTTAGTGGGGATTGGGATGTTCACTGGGGGTTCGGGATTTTGACCCCAGTCACGTAGTGAAGTCTGGCAATATCTCGAATGTAGGGCCAGCAACCGCCCCGGACTGCAACAATGCTTGAAGCCCGGGCAAACAAAGTCCGCTTGCAGCAATGACTTGGCACCTTCCGGTGAACCTTTGCATAGCGCACAGCGGTCTACTGGCTTTTGAACCGCTCAAATGCCCAGTGGCCACTGGAAAAACAGGGCACCCTTGTTCTGTTGGTTGAGTTTAAAGGGGAACCGTTGCCCAAAAAAGGAACAAAGGGCACCACTGGGCGACAGAGACCAAGTATTTTTGGGGGATGGGGGCTGATTCGCTTCCGGAGTGCCATGCGCCCGGCTAAGCTCATGCGAGGGTTCCGCAAGGCATCCTACCAAGCAAGCTGCACTTTGGGGACGCGAATGTGTAAATATTGGGCCCCAGCATGTTTGCCATACAAATGCTGCAAAGGATCACTGATGCCGATGTCAGTGAACATATTCCAATGAACATGCATCGACGCACAATACAAAAATATGTCCGACAAAGCCGCACCAGAGGCGGCTGGCTCACTGCTGGGACATGGCTGTGGACAGGATAATGGTATACTTATCATCTGGGCATGTGCTTGTCGCGGGGTACCATGTTCAAAGCAAACACGTTCTTAGGGTCCCGTTTTGACACCCCGCTAATTATCCGCTGAGGCACTTTGCTCGGTTCGGAAGCTGCAGCTAACTCTCCCTTGCAGAGCACCCAGGCGCATCAGGTGCACATCTTAGCCGAAGCGATTCGGAAGCCGAGAAAAACATGGGTTCATTCTATAGGGGTAGCTTCCAGTTCCATTCTTTCCAGGGATCCGAATTCCTTTCTAAACCACCAAAATCCCTGGGGAAACAGCTGGTTATTGAAAAGAACGATGGTTGAAAGGAAGAATCAACCCCCAGATACATGGCGAAACACAGGCTGATTTCTGGGGGGGTTCTCAAATAGGGGGACCTCTTTAAGTTGAATGGTTTTAAAGGGAACAAAAAAATAAACTACGTTACCTGGAGGGGTCCCCCAATATTGAAAAAAAAACAGCCACATATATATATATATATTAAGATGGTTCTGTGTCCCTTGGTTTCCAACCTCAAAGGCTAGCCTCGAAAAAAGACACGCCCCAAAAAGGGTATATATAAAAACACCATGAAACCAGCTAGAAGTACCTGCAAAATGTGTATGGATTCAAATTCTGGAACCTTGGGACCCTTCAAAGGGGAAGCCACAAAAGTGTGAACATGCTGCAAAAGCAGTGCTTACACATCATGTGACTTGGCTAAAAGCACAGCGGTTAGAACCATCATGCCTCATCATGACACGAGCCACGGTCAGAACAGTGCAGATTTCCACTACTGGACGCAAAGCTAGCGAGCCATCCATGTCTCAGACATACTGTGCCCATTCAGTGTGGATGCTTACAAATTCAACTCCCATGCCAAATTTGGGATTGGTGGTTTGCAACCTGCAATGTGAACATCGGAATCATATACCCACAGGCCCAGGACCCCCCAATACTACACAAATTGAACAACTGGAATTCACCTAAATGAGCAATAATAATAATGATAATAATAATGGGGGAGAAAAAAACAAAAACAAAAAAAACGACGATTGGGCTTCATAAATGCCAAGTGGCACTCAATGGATTTTGTCAACATCCACATGACTCAAGTGTCTGGAACCCGAGCACACATGGACGGGAAGGTCGTCAAACGTATGGCCCGCTTTCTGGATGCTGCCGCCTTGTAAAGGGATTGTGACAACCCTCCACATGCTCATAAGCTCGCTCAACTCAGGTCGGTTCAACGACGTTCTCATCCGGAAGGTGCCCGGATCTTTTGCATCGTGGCCACATGTTATGCTGGTGAAAATCATGGTCCATCCATCCCAAGCTGTAAGTTGGAGATCCGGCCAAAAGGTTCAGGTGAGCAAACCCCAGCTCGTGGTTCTGCGTCACGGAAGGACCCCTCTGAAGGCTTCCTATGTCGGCTTCCGGACTCAAAAGCAACCCTAAGGAACCTTAGAGGTCTCAAATACCCACCGCCTGTGCACCTACCTTCCCTTCCACTAACATGGCAGCTCTGGGCAGGTACCTGGAAGATTGCTTTCCTCTTCAAGGGACCCCATGTCTGGTGCTATGTTAGTAGGAGGGGTACCTTTCTTAAAGATTCCACAAGCCCCGAAAAAAAAACCGCGCACACGGCTGCTTCGGAGTCCAAGGCACGGAAGGTTTCTCCTTCCTCGCAGGAGCCAATCTTTGGTTTGACCCACAGGTTTGCGCTTGGGTAAAACCGGAAGTCCAACCCTTGGTTGCTGCAAGGACCCCCCCTGCAAAAAGTTCTCAACTTTTTGGGGGCTTTGTGGAAAACCCAACTTGATTTCTCAAAAAGTTAAAGTCTAAAGATCCAACCCAATAGCGGTCAAGAACCCATCCGGTTTGCTATTTTTCCGCCCCCTGGCTTGGAATGCTAGAAGGTCTCAAGGGCTAGACAATGCTTGTGGCCTGGAGGCCCTCATTGGTGTTACGTGGTCTGGTGACGTTTACTAGGAAAAACACAACGCTATGTCCAATCGATTCCCGTTTAAAAAACCAGGGAAGAAGAACACATATTCTTAAGCAAATGAAAAGCCCGGTCTAAGGGGGCGCACTCCTCATTTCAAACTCAGGGTGTTCCAAAGGTATGCCACCTTCTGGGTGAGTCGCAGAATAGGCGCTCCCCTACTTTTGCCCTATGGCAACGGTCCGAGATCCAATGAGAAACTCTCCGAGTGTAGATGGGGTATGACATACGTATCTGCACAGTGTATCTATAGGTAAGGTCGGGTAAAGTTGATATAATATGTATGTGAGGCAAAAAAAACTGGCATCAAAATGATCTACCCACAACCATATAAGGAATTGGAAAAAAGGCGGCCGCCAGAATCATAGGAATTGAAACAAAAAGGCGGATATCCGCGCCCATGTATGGTTGGGATTCTCCGTTACCCTCCGGGTCCCCGGGATGCCAAAATCAAGCTTCCCACGCAGCAAACAAGTTGTGAGAAATCTCGAGACGCGAGTGAAACCACCCGAAGCCTCCAAAAGGGGCGCACAAACCTGATCAAGTTGCATCAGAAGCAAAGCTCTGCAAGGACTCATGTGCGCCTTGCACAGCTCATGATGTGAATCGGGAATCCTTACAATGTCCTAGATTCCTATCAACACTAGGTCATCCAGTAGAAAGGTTAGAATAAGGGTGCCAACTCTTTGCGGTAGTCTACTTTAGTAGGGGAACCCTCCCCCAAAAAAGGGGTGAGAAAGGGCACTACTGGGGGACCTAGAACAAGTCCATGACCACCCCGAACAACCAGTGTCTCATGTTTGAAACAATCCCGAGTAGGGAACCTCCTGGATTGCTGCTTTAGGGAGCCTGGGGCGGCTACGGTTTGTTGAGGGTACCCTTTTTGGGAAGCGTTGACAAAACACACCCTGGCCGATCTGAAGGGGGCGCCCTGTTGGAGAGCAAGACAAAATATCGGCACAAGGCGTCGAGACTCAACCATCAACAAAAGCACAGAGCAAAGAGAAAGTAGACAGTCCCCTTTTGGGCAAAGTGGGGGACATTGGCCAGTCCCCATGTTCTCCCCAGTAGAAATCATTAAAAAAAATGCTACACGGCCGCAACACCCACAGCAACCGCTCCTCAGCCACGAAGATAGGTGCGGCGAATTGAATGATGTCGAGCTTCTCCTGCGCTGGCGAGCTATCTATCTTCAAAGGATGAAGGTATACGTCCATACACCTCCACTGTAAGGTTTAATTGGGCATTTGCTATCGCTTGATTCTGGAAAATCAGTCGAAGGGTCCGAAATGGCCTCGGGTTCTGGCTTCAAAAAGGACAACCCCAAGGACACCCCATCCATTTTGGTGGAGAGCGTGCAGTCGGTTGCTTGCTTCAGAATTCGAAAGACACACCAGATGTCAAGTTTACCCAGGGCTTGATACAATGACTTTGTGCAAGCTACGAACACTGCAATGGATGATCGCAGCTTTCCGACCTTTCGCGTTTCATAATTTCATTGTTGAGAGAGAGGCTAGGACCAGTATTGAAAGGATTCACTTGCAAAAGGCACTTGACTCAGCAAGTGTCACCACTTTTTCAGCTTTGAATCCTACCCGGGTGGTAACTGGGGGGGGGGGGGTGGCAGAATGCAATTGATCAATGGCCTTTGGGTTGATGAGCATCAAGTCATCTATGTAACCCATGCAACATAAGTATTGTCAGCCAGCAAGAGCGTTCTGGCAAGTGTCGCTCCTGGAAGCCACATACTTCTAGGGGTTGATTCCCCATTCTTTTCAACCATCGTTCTTTGCAAAAACCGGCTGTTTTCCCCTGTTTTGATGGTTTCCTGAAATGAAGGATCCCTGAAAGGAATGAAGAAGGTACCCCTGGAATATTGGCCAGCAATCGACATCAAGCACGCAAGCCGCACGCCTTGCCTCTCAAATATCCCAAAAAATCCCTCAATACTTTCCCCCATGTGGCAGGTCGCTGCCCCCCTATGAGTGGGATCCCCACAAAAAGTCTTGAATATCTTCAGGTTCTGTTTCATAAAAAAGGGGTTGATCAATATTATGGCCGACAAGAATGACCATGGGTCACTTTTCCCATGTCCTTGAAATGTTCATATCTCTTGCTGGTATGTGGGGTTGAGCAATATTCCATTTATGGCCCCCAAATGACCATGGGGCACTTTTCCTATTTAGTGGGGAATATCGTTTTTGCATTGGTTTCCCCAATGGTCATCCCATGTCAAGGACCTTTTGATCAACCCCCAAGAAGTCTCTTGCGCTCCGGTGTCCTTGCTGGCAACAGAACTGCCAAAGAAGGAGGAATCCTGGCAGACCAAAAAAAACGAGCACAAGGACTGGGAAAGATTTCAAGCTTGTTTCAACAGTTGTCCTTTGCAACAAGCCGATTCCGGAAAGAAGGATCTCTTAAAGGGTCTCACGGGTGGTAGCTAGCAGAAACATTGTGCGGGACTTCCTTTTGGCTTCTCTTTGAAACCCTCCAAGCAAAACAACCAGTTCGGCAACCCACATTTGTTGGGCCTGAGCGAGCTTTGGGTATACTGTCACGTTAAAGGGTCATAATTAATTGGAGAATTCGGCTGATTACCCACCGTGCACAAAGCATGCAAGCATACATTTGGCCCATGTGGCATGCATAAAGAAACACACATAACATCAAACCAGTATACTTTGGTGTTTCGGCATCCCTTTCCAAACTCCCGGATTCGATGGATGCACCGTTTGTTCTGACAGGCCCCTTTCTGGACAATGGGACCTCCCAGAAATCAAGAAACGCAGTCTCTTTGGTGGGTCCACGTTTCCCCCCCCAAAAAAAAACAAGCGGTCAGAAGGTAAAGGGCCCTGACTTGACCGTTTTTCCGTCCTGCATTCGAAAGCAAAGACCTAAAAAACGACCACGCTTCGCAGAAACACGGCACCCAAAGCAAATGGAGGTTTCTCAAAACTAGGCCCCTCCCTAAAATGGATAGTTTCCTCTTAATTCGCTTCCCTTTAAAACCAGCCCAAAAGGGGCTCGGCGAAAAACACACATAAGTGAATTTCATTATATTTGAGGGTCAATTCGTTTTATTCGGGGGTTGTGTTGGGGAATTTAATGGGCCCATTCTTGCAGTTTGAGGTCACAGCCATGCCGCCCCATGTAGCCTGTTGGCTTGCAGTGAAGCACATGGAACTGGCAAATACGCGCTTGAAAATGGAGAAAAGGATTGAGGTACTTGTCGCTTATATACGGTGTTTCTCCAGCCCGTGCGGCTAGGTCGAGCAAGTTTGGGCACTTAAGGTTGCTTCGGCCCCTAGCGCCTCAACCGGCGAATTACTGCTGCCCAACCAGGCTCTGTGAAGGATATCAGCTTCACACTGTCAACCCTGCAGTCGTCTAGCCACACCATTGCAGTTGAAGATGCTTTTCAAAAACCGCCCACGAGCCAGTCTTTAAGATTTATACTAATTCAAGACGCAAACTGCCTGCAGCTGAGAAAAGCAACGGGGTCAAGCAACTTGCTTTACACTTAGCAGTATTTGTAAGCATTGCTTGCGCCAACTTCTTCCTGCAACAAGTGAGAATGGGAAGGGTTTTATTCGGGTTCAAAAGCTTTTGCTGCGGGGCGAGTGCCGATGTGATAGGGGCAACTGCTTCAACAAATTTGCTGCCAAGCCAGGCCTACAAGCAGAACTGAACTCCTTCCTGAAAATGTTCTAGGATATAAAACCTGCTCAAGACTTTCACGAAGGAACCTTAGCTTGGATCTTTCCCGCGCAAAAATACACATAATCCCTTGAGGAACCCCGACCCCTCCCTGAAATCCACAAGTTCGTGCGGGAAGTCACCATTGCCAAGCTCTAGACCAGCGTTTCCAATGCCTTGGGGCGGTTCCTTTGATTGAAGGGTTAGGACCATGTTTCAAACATGTTGGCCTGTGCAACTCCACCCCCCCCCCCGGCCCCCAAGGTTCACAAAAGGAAGCCTGTGAAGCACATAAAGCTCGACATATTCTTCATGAGTCTGTATGCTTCCCAACAAGTGTGTTGTCCAATGCAGCAAGAATCAGGCAAAACACTAAGGTTCCAAAAGCGCAAACAGACACTAGAGGTGGTGAATGTGGCGAAACAGTGTGGATAATGGAAAGTGGATATGAGACAACCTTTTTCAGCTAGCCTACTCTACCGCTCCCCCCTCGAGTTGCTGAAGATGTAGAGGTTTCAATAGAGAACCTGGATAACGATGAGGAGGTGAAATTCCCTTGAAACACTGACTGGGCCACTCAAACTTGTGCCAAGGCTAGTAGAACCAAATTTCGGGTGCAATTTCGAGACCCTTCGCACCAGAAGCCTGCCACGGGGGAAACCTGAAAATGCTGCATTCTCAGTGTCCACGCAAATGGGGGCTGCTTGGCTGCTTTGGTTATAGGTGAAGCAAAGGTACTCCGAATTGTTCACACGCTTCACGAGCGAGTGGAAACACCTCCTACAATTGTGCCAAGCTTTCCGGTGTGTGACACGTGCGCCTACTACAAACAGGTTTGTGGGAGCTGTTTTCTAAAGGTCCGCGTTAACGAGTCAGGTGAGTTGCTTGACGTGCCGCTGAGGACTCTACATCAAAATTCGAGCGGCCAGGGCCTACACGCGCCGTCTCGATAAGATTGCAGCTGAAAGGAGCTTGGAAGAAAATCCGGGCACAGGGTTTGCTTTGGCTTAGAAAGTGTTGCGATGGTCACTCTGCAGCCAAACGCAGGCCATGAGGCCATTGGACTATCCCTTGCTCCCCTATGCGTTCGCAGGGTTACTTGGCTATTGCAACAATGCTTGCGTATGATAGCGCTGCGGAGATGCAGCCCAGCTTTGGACATGCTGCGATTTTCTCACCCGCAGCACTGTGAGGGTTTCGTGCTTTTACTTCGCTGTGTTTGCGCCGCCGCCTCCCGGTTGCTTCTCCTCCCATCTCTTCCGCCCTCGACGCCCTCATTCACTCAGTCTCACTCGCCCACCTGTGCTGGGCCACTCATTCTTTCTGAGCCGCCCTCACTCACTCATCGTAACTTCTCACCTACCCATTCGCACTCACTGACTCTCAGTCGCTCATTCTCAACTAGTCTCACTCATACATTCCCGCTCCCTCATTCTCGCTCGCTCTTTCTCACTTGACTCACTCATTCTTACTTTGCATTCTTACTCACTCAATCTCATGCGTCTCACTCTTGCTCATTTCCGTTCACTCAGTCTGACTCACTCATGAGTCACGCTCACTCCTTCTCACTCATTCTCCCTCGTTCTCACATCTTCTCACTCCTTTGCACTCATTCTCACTCCTTCTCACTCATTCTCACTCACGCACACTCGCTCGCTCGCTCGCTCACTCCTTCCCTCCGCTCTTTTGTTCAGTGCTCAAGTGTGGAAATATAGGAATAGGCAATGCTAAAGGCACGAGAGGTAATGCGTGATGTGGAGCGTGTTCTTTCAAGTAAAAAGCACAGAGAACAGGGATCAGGCGCTGGTTTTGGAAGCGCAGGTACGGAAGTTTCTCACCACTTCTGAAGGGGTACATAATTCCCAACATGCTTGTGCGCACAAGTTTTTTCATTTACGTATGTATGTAGGCGCTCGCGAAGCATAGCCCAAAATGGCATCCCTTCACACCAGCCAGCAGAAGGTACAGCGCCCTCAAAACAAAGCCGCCTGAGGCCTGAGGCCTGTCCTTGTCAGCCCTGCTGCAACTTCGGCCCAGCAACCTTGCCCCTGAAAATCTTTGTACATATCATCAACTCTGGTTTTTTCACTTGGTCAGCGCTCCCTTGGTTCCTGAATGGTTGTTTCACTCTCTAAACAAAAGACTGGTGAATACTTGGGAGTGGGAAAGGCGACGGTTTGGCATCCCTGGCAAAGGCGACGGTTTCACTTCCCCGCGGAAGGCGACGATTTGACCCAACAAATTGCCAGTCAGAATAAATGCGTCACCTTTTTGGGGTTCAAATCCTGGATTTTGAAAAGGCGACGGTTTGCCTCAAACCATCACCTTCTGCCCCCTTGCCACAACCCTTCCCCCCCCGCCAACCTAAGAATGGCTCCCCTTTTCTCAATCGTTTAAGTTCTTCCGGCCTCCCCTTTTCTCGGATTTTCTCCTTTCGCTCTTCCCTTTGTTTCCTTAGCCTGTCACATCCTGCTGTCAAAAGGCGACGGTTTGTACCGAACCATCACCTTTTGAAAAGCCACAACTTGGATCCCTGAAAGGTGACCCATGTATGCTTTTGCTTGCCTGAGTAGCTCCTGAAATTCCTGAAGTTCCTCATCAGCCAACTCAAACCGTCGCCTTTGCCAGGGATGCCAAACCGTCGCCTTTTCCACTTCCAAGTATTCACCAGTCTTTTGTTTAGAGAGTGAAACAACCATTCAGGAACCAAGGGAGCGCTGACCAAGTGAAAAAACCAGAGTTGATGATATGCACAAAGATCTTCAGGGGCAAGGTTGCTGGGCCGAAGTTGCAGCAGGGCTGACAAGGACAGGCCTCAGGCCTCAGGCGGCTTTGTTTTGAGGCGCTGTACCTTCTGCTGGCTGGTGTAAAGGGATGCCACTTTGGGCTATGCTTCGCGAGCGCATACACACACGAAAATGAAAAAACTGTGCGCATAAGCATGTTGGGAATTATGTACCCCTTCAGAAGCGGTGCGAAACTTCCGTATCTGCGCTTCCAAAACCACCTCATCTTTGTGCTTTCCACTCATTCTGCCTCAAACTCACCCAACTCTCACTCACTCTCACTCAGTCTCACTCACTCGCTCGCTCACTCCTTCCCTCCGCTCTTTGTTCAGTGCTCAAGTGCGGAAATAAAGGGATAGGCGATGCTAAAGGCATGGGAGGTGATGCGTGATGTGGAGGAGAAGGAGTGAGCATTGAACAAAAGAGCGGAGGGAAGGAGTGAGCGAGCGAGCGAGCGAGTGTGCGTGAGTGAGAATGAGTGAGAAGGAGTGAGAATGAGTGCAAAGGAGTGAGAAGGAGTGAGAAGAAGTGAGAACGAGTGAAAATGAGTGAGCGTGACTCATGAGTGAGTCAGACTGAGTGAGCGGAAATGAGCAAGAGTGAGACGCATGAGATTGAGTGAGTAAGAATGCAAAGTAAGAATGAGTGAGCCAAGTGAGAAAGAGCGAGTGAGACTAGTTGAGAATGAGCGACTGAGAGTCAATGAGTGCGAATGGGTAGGTGAGAAGTTACGATGAGTGAGTGAGGGCGATTCAGAAAGAACGAGTGGCCCAGCATAGGTGGGCGGGTGAGACTGAGTGAATGAGGGCGTCGAGGACGCAAGAGATGGGAGGAGAAGCAACCGGGAGGCGGCGGCGCAAGCACAGCGTAGTAAAAGCACGAAACCCTCACAGTGCCGCGGGTGAGAAAATCGCAGCATGTCCAAAGCTGGGCTGCATCTCCGCAGCGCCATCATACGCTAGCATTGTTGCAACAGCCAAGTAAGCATGCGAACGCATAGAGGAGCAAGGGATAGTCCAATGGCCTCATGGCCTGCGTTTGGTTGCAGAGTGATCATCGCAGGCAAACCCTGTGCCCGGAAGATTTCTTCCAAGCTCCTTTCAGCTGCAATCTTATCGAGACGGCGCGTGTAGGCCCTGGCCGCTCGAATTTTGATGTAGAGTCCTCAGCGGCACGTCAAGCAACTCAATTGACTCATTAACACCGACCTTTAGAAAACAGCTCCCACAAACCTGTTTGCAGTAGGCGCACGTGTCACACGCCGGAAAGCTTGGCACAATTGTAGGAGGTGTTTCAACTTGCGCGTGAAGCGTGTGAGCAATGGGAGTACCTTTGCTTCACCTATAACCCGCGCATCATGAAGAGGCCCAGCCAAAGCAAAGCAGCCAAAGCAGCAACACTTTGCATTGATACTGAGAATGAAGCATTTTCAGGCTTCCCCGTGGCAGGCTTCTGGTGCGAAGGGTCTCGAAATGGCACCCGAAATTTGTTTCTACTAGCCTTGCCACAAGTTCGAGTGGCCAAATCACTCATCGTCATCCAGGTTCTTCTTTGAAACCTCTAAATCTTCCCCATGGCCTGCACCCTCATCAGATCTTGCAACTCGGGGGGGGGGGGGTAGATTCGGCCAGCTGACAAAGGTCTTGCCTTGATAACTTATGATACTTATATTCATTGTTTATTCTTTACGTTTTCACCACATTCACCACCTCTGGTGTCGGTTTGCGAGATCGGGCAGCTTTTGGAACCTTAGTGTTTTGCCTGATTCTTGCTGCATTGGACAACACACTTGTTGAGAAGCATACAGATTCATGAAGAGTATGTCGCGCTTTATGTGCTTGACCGGCTTGTTGTTGTGAACTTGCGGTTGTGGAGTTGCAGGCCAACATTTTTGAATCATGGTCCTGACCTTTCAATCAAAGGAACCGCCCCAATGCGCTGGAAACGCTGGTCTAGAGCTTGGCGATGGTGACTTCCCGCACGAACTTGTGGATTTCAGGGAGGGGTCGGGGTGCCTCAAGGGATTATGTGCATTTTGCGCGGGAAAGATCAAAGCTAAGGTTCCTTGGTGAAAGTCTTGAGCAGGTTTTATACCCTAAAACATTTTCAGGATGGAGTTCAGTTCTGCTTGTAGGCCTGGCTTTGCAGCACACTTGTTGAAGCAGTTGCCCCTATCACATCGGCACTCGCCCCGCAGCAAAAGCTTTTGAACCCGAATAAAACCCTTCCCATTCCCACTGTGCCTTAGATCTCAGCGTGTTGCAGGAAAATGTTGGCGCAAGCAATGCTTGCAAATACTGTTAAGTGTAAAGCAAGTTGCTTGACCCCGTTGCTTTTCTCAGCTGCAGGCAGTTGGCGTCTTGAATTAGTATAAATTTTGAAGACTGGCTCGTGGGCGGTTTTTGAAAAGCGTCTTCAACTGCAATGGTGTGGCTAGACGACTGCAGGTTTGACAGTGTCAAACTGAGAGCCTGGTTGGGCAGCAGTAATTCGCCCCTCAGCAGTCAGCAGCCGGTTGAGGCGCCAGAGGCCGAAGCAACCTTAAGTGCCCAAACTTGCTCGACCTAGCTGCATGGGCTGGAGACACACCGTATATAAGCGATAATTACCTCATATATAAACATCACCGCATTTGCTAGCTTTATGTGCTGCATTGTAAGTCAACAGGTTACATGGGGCGGCATGGCTGTGACCTCAAACTGCAAGAATGGGCCCATAAATTTCCCCAACACAACCCCCGAATAAAACGAATTGACCCTCGAATATAATGAAATTAACTTACATACACACAAATCATGGACTTTCTGAAAGTGTATCCTGGCAAGTCCCATACCCCCAGCGAACATCCCAATCCCCACCAAAATAGACTAAAATGGGTGGTGCCCCTGGTGCCCCTACCCCAAAATAGTATCCCATTGGTTTCGACCCACAGCCATTTTGTATCCTGGCAAGCGACATTCACTGGGCGCACTTGAGACTGGGCATGTCCGGCAGGCCATTCAGCTTTCAGGCTGAAGGACTTCAGAGTCAAAGCGTTTTAATGCTTTGGACAAGTCAGCTACTTGGTTGACGTTGGAAGGGGAGCAAAAACAAAAGTGTTCAACCACTAAACCACCATAAGCAAAAATGTAAAATGTTTCCCAACAACAAATATGGCTACTGCTTGGTACCTGGAACGATAAGGACAAAGATCTTGCAGCGTGTTCAAATGAGCGGCCTCCCTCGAACGACGAACATGAACACGTTGCGCCATACCCTTATCTTCTAGGTCCTCCAGGAAAGAGGTTATTCTAAGGGTACCCTTTGTTCTGTAGTCTATTATTCCCGGAGCCCTCCCCCAAAAAAGGGTAAAAGGGCACTACTGCGGGACCTGGTTAACGTCTTTGCTATTGCCTTGACGTGGCGGGGTCCCGTGAGCAACTCCCACAGGACAAAATTTGACCCGCAAGATGCCGAAACCTGCATTTCTGGCATCGGTTCGATCTCGGGCCGGTGGGAGGGGCACCTGGAAGATCAGATTCCTCTTATAGGGACCCCCTGTCTGGTGCCATGTTAGTGAGCAGGAGGGGTAACTATGGTTTAAACACTTGGCCTTACGGTATCCCCTGGTCACCTATCAACCCTCTTGGTGGCTAGATGGACAACTCAGCCCCGACGCCTGCGCGTTCAGCGGCGAGTAGCGATAATCATCCCTCAAGTCCCGAAGGCGCACCTCGAGAGCAGTCTGGGTCATGGCTCCCCTAGGGATCCTTACCCTCCCACCAATTCACATGGAACCTGACGGGGGGGGGAGTGTGGAAGACCATGTTCTTGTCAAAGGGACCGCCTGTTAGGTTCCACTTTAGTTGGTGGGAGGGTGCCATGATTGTTTTCGCTTACTTAAGGGGTCCATTACCACCCCTTTTGACCATGGGACCTACGTGCGTACATGTGGGGCAGATTGCCTCTCCTTAGCCTATTTTTTGCAACGTGCGCAAGAATTCAGGCCAGCCGTTGAACCAAGAACGGGAGGTCTCTGGGGAGGTGTCAATCTGCTTACCTTTGCGCACCAATGGCAATGGCTTCGCGTTCAGCCGCGAAGCCGAGGCGGGCAATTCTGGCACATATTATCAGTCCAGTGCTTCAAGTCAACAGTGGCGGCAACTAATCATCTTACCCCACTGGCCTTTATCATGACATAGTATTGTGTTAAACAAAAAAAAACAGGTTGATGACGCAAGGCAGACTCTCTGCGCAGATGGAACGCGTTCAAACTAGGTTGATAGTTTTCATGGCCACCTCAACGGCAACTCGATCATGTGCCATGATGAAATCTTGGGTCGTCATCACTTGCTCTGGAACCTTTAGATGGTTGTGTACAAGGGGTTTGGGGGGCAGACACTTTCACCACAAGTAAAAGCTGCCTTGAGCCTTACACATTTACGCAATGCTGGGTTTCCTCCGCGCGCCCCATGAGTATGCATTTCCATTTGGGAAACCCTTGCTCTGCGGACATCATTTGCTCGTGGATGTACACCCAAATCTCACCGTGATCCCATCAACATTCCAACGACGTTCAAAAACCATACTCCACCCACTTCCAGAGTTCGACAGCTGAGAAGATTGAAGTTTGGAAGTGTGCATGGCTTACCGCCCAGAGACGTCCCCCCGTTTCGCCGGAGGTCCATATTGCAAAAGTTATGGTAGCTCAAGGACATGCATAGTTCCTTGAACATCCTCTACGGAGCCCGCGAGATCTTCGGCATGTGTACTAGCTTAAGTTTAATACAGTCTCAGGCGAATCTGAACATATATGTGGCTTTCCAGCTTCCTTCAAGGGTTGTTGATTGGTGCCCAAAATGGCCTACACAAGGGCACTTCAGGTACAAATGGACCGCTGGCTGAAGGTGTGTCCTGATTTGGCCATGGGTCAAAATCCCGTACCCCCAGTGAACATCCCAATCCTGACTAAAATTGGTTCTAAAATGGGTCGTGCACCTACCCCAAAATGGGACCCCATTGGTTTTGACCCACAGCCATTTGTATACTGGCACGTGAGCTTCACTGGGCGCATTTGGCACAAAGTTGTTCAGTCCTACCATCCCTTGGCAACATGCACCAAAGCAAAAGTGTGCCCCGAAACTTTCTTTCTTTCTCCAACCCCCCAGCCTCTCGGCTGTGGGTGAGCCCATGCTTGGAGCTCTTGCCAGTGCACGCTCCCATGGCGAGCCGCGCAAAAGCTGCGCGAGTGACAAGTCCCTGGACATCCCATTCCCTCCATGGCTTCCCCAAAACCGTGTATCGTCGTGGATCTTCTTGTGACGTGTCCTTTTGCATTCTTTGCGCGTTTTAAGGGCGCACCCGCTGATTGCGAGTGAGCTGTGCAAGCTGAATTAATTCTGGCAGCGATGATGCGCGGCGAGTATGCGTGGCCCAGGCAAATGATGCAACTCCCAGTCTTGATCCCCAATTCATCAACCAGCCAAAGTTCCCTGCAAGAATGCAACCAACAAGGGTTGACTTAGATGGTCCAAAAGGTTGCCAGCCCTTCATGTCTCGGCAACCAACACTGCTCGCCCTCCCAACTAACAAACCCAACAGCAGCCCTTTGTGGATTGCTGGGCCTGTGTCGCAACAAGGAACCCCCCAACAAACATGTTGGTCTTTACGTCTCCCCCTAAGCCAAGAAAAAGCTTCTGACAATCACCCGTTGCCGCCGTATCTCAGCAAAGCACGCGGCACGTGAAACGGCCATTGTAGAAATTGCTAGCAGCAATGTCGTTGCTAAGCCTCAAATCCCTCAAATCTCCGGCACATGGCACCCTTACTGTGCGATTTGTATTCGTGTCCTGTCTTATCCTATCTTATCCCAGGTTGTCCTATCTTACCGTGCTATGTATCTATCGAATTATCTATCTATCTATCTATCTATCTACCCACCTACCTATACCTTACTTCTATGACCGCTGGGGCTCAAAACACAAGGCCATTAAGCATACTAACAACGGAAACTTGCAGCAAACACCTGCGAACATCGCGAAAACACGAAAACCGCGAAACAACAAACACCGTGAAAACACGAAAACCGCGAAAACGCGAAAACCAAGAAAACACAAAAATCACAAAACTGCGCAAGCAGCAAAAACAGCAAAATCACGAGAACCACGAAGACCACGAAAACGCGAAAACTGCGAACACCTGAAAATCGTGAAACCACGAAAACGGGGGCAAAGAAAGAAAAACGCAAAACGCAAGCATAGGAGAACGGTAAAAAAAAACCGCAAGCTTCAAGAAAAAGGCAAAAGCCACGAGAGCCAGCAATGTAGTTTTGTGGTTTGCTCGGTCTTCTCGGTTTTCCGGTTTTATCGGTCATATCGGTTTTCCGGTGTTATCAGTTTTCTCAGTTTTCTCGCGCGAATCCGGCTAGCTCCGTGTCGCTTAAAACGATTGCTTAGCACCCTTAGCACATCCAAATAGACGCGTGAGAGGTCGGCACCCAAAGCCGCGATGAAACCGGAAACAAAGCCACATCCTTTCAACGGATGGCAAAGACTCGCGTCGCAAAGACTACTTGTGTGGCTCTTGGGTCAGATTTTGACATCCCGGACGGCCGGGTTTTCCCCTATCCCGGCTAGAAACATATTAAAACCGCCGAAAAGGGGGGAACAAAACACAATTAGGTGTCCTTTCAGGGTAAATAGATGGGTTTCCGTGGTAGATGAGAAACCACCAGTTCAACCAGGGAAACTCATGGATTTTTCGACCAAAACCACCCAAAAAGGACACACATCCCCTTAAACCGCAGCTTCGTCGCGGCCAGTTCGTGAGGCCGGAGTCCATCCCCAGTTCTCTGCAGTTCTACGTTTTGAGCGCAAGAAGGCGCTGACTCGGTTGCGAAATCTGCTCCCCTGCCATGGGTCAAAATCCCGGTTAGCCCCCGTGGACATGCCAATCCCCACTAAAATAGACTAAAATGTGGTGGTGCACCTACCCCAAAATGGTACCATGCTGTTGACCCACAGCCATCTTTTAAAAGCTTTTAGTGGTTTATTACGGAAAACCCCGAAAAAAGTTGGCGAAAAGCTGTGCAGTCCTAACATCCCTTGGCAACATGCACCAAAGACAACCCTGTGAAAAGCTCCAAAACCCAGAAGTTCAAAGGCAACTATGAACAATTTCTCTAGGGGTACCTTCCGCATTCTTTCCAGGGATCCTTCTTTCCAGAAGACCTCCAGAAACCCAGGGAACACGGATCCGGTTTTTGAAAAGAACGATGAGTGAACAGAATGGGGAATCGTAACCTCCGGAATTTCCATCTATTTTGTGGCGGTGGGGCCTTCAAACCCCGGTTCAAAAGAATGAGGCTGCCCGAGCGTTGGAGTCCAGCTAGCTCAGTGGTAGGTAACCAGGCATTTTAGCTCTACATGGAGTGTGCATGGCTCCCCCCGGTCGCCAGACCGCCACGCCGGTTTCTTGCCGCCGTGCCATGTTTATGTACCGCAGGATACCGCCCGCGCACGCCAGGCATAAGAAGCATAGCGCCTCGCTTCGAGGGTTGAAGGGATCAACGCATCAGCTCGACGGGCAGTGAGAACGGGAACTGGGGAATTGGGTGGACCCGTGTAGGAGAGAGATCTTATTAAATAAGAGGTACAACAGTGGCATTGGCATCAGAATCGATCCAAGTTCGGCAGCACATAGATGATATGCATGTTTCTCTGCAGTAGGCAAACCTCTAGCTGGCTGGTTTTCTGTTTGTTTCCGCCCAAAAAAAGTGTACCAAGGGAATCCACAAGTACATTCCCAAGTAGGCACCCCGCCCTGAGCCTTTTCTTTGGAAAGCGCTGACCTCTACTTCCAGTTTAAGTCCCGTGGAGAAAACAACAACATTATGTCCAGTGATAGTTTCCCTTTAAGACAGCGCCAAACAAGAACGATTCTTATTGCAAATGCCAGAGCACCTGTCCAGCACTAAGAAACCTGGTCTAGCCCAAGGCGCGCGGTGCTTCCAATGCCAAGAGTGCCATCGCACTCTCATTCTCTGTCCGTTGATGGTGGCGACACGAATCAGAAAAAGAAGCAACGACACTGCATGCTAACGGATCTCGGAACCTACCGAACATAAATACTAGATGCACAGCAATGTCAACTGGAGATACATCCGAGAACCAGTGGTTGCCCTGTCACTAGGTCAGTGAAATCATCTTCTCGAGAAGAGCCCTCTGGTTATGCCTGACTATTCCAGCTTGATACACTAGCTCAAATGTAGCTGCATCTAGTCCCCATCTGCCTGCACCAACTGACCAGCCTTGGAAAATGCATCGTCTTTCAACAATCATGGAAGCTGACAAACAGGTTCTGAAAGACCACCATCCACTTGAAAAGGCCTCCTGTCCACTTCCATGATTGTTGAACAGGTAGGGCGTAACACGCCTCCACAAACCCGTCACGCGACGCGACGTGATGGGCTTGCAATTGCAGCGAGAAACAGTCCGTGCAACTCTTAAACAGTCCACGCCTTTCACTACCGGAAACAGAGCTCGGAGATCCTCTGCAGAACGTGGAACCCGTGAAGACTCGATTTTGCAGCGATGACCAATTGTTCACATGTCACTTGTCACACGGAGCTTCCTTGATATCACTGAAGATACACAACCATCTGCTCATGTCAGCAACCTCATCATGAAAAACTGGACTCGTGGACGCTCTCCGTCGGTTCCGTGGCTTCCCAGCTCGATCGGGTGGTTGACACAGGGCCGGGCCTTCTTTCTTGCGCAATCATCGCACCAAAAGGAAGGAAGCTCACAAACATTGCCAACAAGGCGTGCGTAACATCAGGAATAGATGCCTTAGCGAATAAATGGTCACCTCCTCAAAGCGAATCAGCTTTCTCATAGCCATGCCCCGGCAATGGCAAGACGCGGAATGTATACCAATACCAATGGCTCTCTATGCTGCATGGCCTCCCACCACCACAAACATTGCCTCCCACAATCACACACATCGCCACTCTTGGAGGCTCCACAAACAAAAAGGGAAAAGAACTAGGTCCTCCAGCAGAGAAGTTAGAATAAGGGTACCCTTTTTTCGGTAGTCTATTTTAGTAGGGGAACCCTCCCCCAACAAAGTTGGTACAAGGGCACTACTGGGGAACCTAGTGGAAATCAGTAGATGCCATTGCTGAGTCTCTGAGCTCAAGTGCAAACTTGCACCGTCCCCAGGAACGTCCTCAGGAAGCAGTGTCCAAATCACAGCTTTCATCGGTAAATTCTGTTGCCCATATTCTCCAACCACCCCATGGTTTTGACACACTCCCTGTAAACTTAGTGATAAATAGGAAGCCTGGAAAAAAGAAGGGAACAACAACACATGGCCATCCCTGTTTGGCTCCCTTGCGGAACATGATGCAAGGATAGATTCACGGATGTTCCACTTCATTGGGCCCTTGACATACGGTTCAAGACTTGCTCCAACCAACATCTGGGCGTGTCTCCCCAGGCTCGATGACCAGGGCGACCAGGAAACCGAACCTGACTTCCAACGGACCAGCTTGGAATAGTGAAGAGAAACCCATCCCAACAAGGACACTTTTTGAACAACTGGAGGTCTGGGGCCTTGAAATCTAGCATCACCTTGGGACTTTGCAGCCTAAAAAACACACACAAAAAAAACAAAAACGAAGAGCCCTTTTAAAAGGGCCTTGAGAAGACCCCACCCCGCCTTTTGAGATGATTCCCTTTGGAAAACCCGCGAGAGATTGCCATCGAATCGATGTGCCTCAAAGCTGAATATCCGGACCACCTTCCAGCCCGTCGAGCACCTGGTTGCTTCTTGAGACCAGCTGGGGGGTGGCCTTTGTTGAAGCTTAAGACGCTGGATCCCACCCCGGCGAAAACGCAAGTTTTGGGTTGGGGCGGGGTGGGGGGTGGGGGGGGGGGATGGCTTCGCAGTTGCTGAGGTGGACACTTCACTTGCAAGCTGAGGTCGTACCCCCGCTTTCATTTGTGTCCTTCTTCGGCTGGCGCAGCAGCCATGTCCCTGCAGTGACCTTGCGCCATTTGTGGTACGCCGGCCTCAGGAGATTGACTCACTGCACTCTATTCTTTGCTTGCCACATTGCCAAGACCCCATCATTCTGTTCACGCAGGCCACTGCAACAGATTTCCGCTGCAATGTGTGCTTCTTTTGCGAACGCCCGAGCTGCGGCGGGCTTGTCACGACTACTGCTTCCGGACCTGGCCACTGCCGCCAGCAGT